GGTGAATAAAAGGATGGAACAACTACGTCTCACATTTTCAAAAAGGAGAAGAGTGATGGGTTCTCCATTTTTTATGAAACGAAATGTGTCTTATTTGGTCTGATTTGATTTCAAATGTAATTGTATTTTTACTCACTGGATCCTAGGTTCTTTCACACGCAGTTAAGTGCAAACAAGCTGTTCTTTTGAGGTGAGGGTTACAGGATTACAGAGAAGCTCCCCACAGACTTGTGTCCTGACACATCCATGCAATCATACCAAAAGTTTCACACTCTGGAGATTACTGTGGTAAAGGGTAGTTTATAGATAGTTTAAATTGGAAGCAACTTAAGATACTGGTTCATTCACCACTGGTATAAAATGTGTTAGCCTTATCAGGAGTTTTTTTCTATGATTTGTCAGATTTCTGGTTATGAAGCCTTGAATGTAAAGACTGAATTGGTCCAACTTTTTTCATATCAGTACTGAGAGATCAAGTTGAATACATTCTGTTCTTACTCACAAGTATAATTAGGGAATCTCACTGTTGCTGCCACTCCAGGTATAAGGGCTGTGTATTTCTAAACATTTAATTACCTACTTTGTAAAACCAGAACTAATGTTTTATAGGAAAAATCTAAGCATGATATTTCTGAAGAGAAGCGTGTTAAGACTTTCATTGCATTTATTTTGTTTCAGCAGTGCCAAATATCTAAACAGCATAGATTTAACTCACTTTCACAAAGCTGTTGACTTGAGTGGGGCATGCCAACCATTTTACCAACAGTCTCTTTTCCTTCGACTTCTAGATTTTTTCCAGTCGTGTGAAACCTGCTCTGTTTGGTATTAATTTTCTGTAATTCTTTGGGTAAAAAGGGCAACGACCTTTTATCCTCATCATTTTTTCTCCTGAACACCATCCTTTTCTTTGTACCTGGCTAATAACTTAAAGTAGTATGAAAATTTAAGCAGTTAATGTCTGTTTCCAATGTTTGTCAAGAGTCCTTTTGGTTTTAGACACCCACACATGGTCTCCTTTTGTAAAAAGAGGTGCTTTTCCTTTAAGCCTCCATACATTCTTGCCAAATCATCAGCAAGCTGAGGGGTTTACACCAGCAGGATTGGTACACACAGTTCTCTGAAACCTGCCATTAGAGCCCTTCATAGAAGTGGGTAACAGTGTAGTAAAGGCACTGTGAGTTCTAAAATACCTCCATATCTTGGAGTTCTTAAAGTTCTGCTAAAGTACTCTGTAACTGCAGTTTTGACTTCACTATCAGTAACAAAATGATGAACATTATGTTACCTTAACAAACTACTGAAAGGCCTGTTAGGAAAATTCTTTAAACCTCTCAGTCTGTACTGTCTGAACTCCAATTCTTTCAGCAAAAAATTATTTAAAAGGCTTCTGAGCCTTTATTGTCCATCTTATCTGCTGATCCTAGACCCCAGGCACTTCATATGCATAGCATGTATGTCATTGTTACAACGTACTTGAAACTACAGCTGTCCTTTGAGAACCGCTGTATTCCCAAAGTGAGCTTCCTGTTGTGCAGCACCATGAAACTCTTCTGTTTCTTTTAAAATGTACTTGCATTGCCTTGTGCAAAGTGGAGGCTGACTGTCTTCTTGATGGATGGTCAAGGCCTTACTACATTCATTTGGCTTTTCAAAAAACAGAGCTTATGCCTCCCAAAATTGCTTATCAGGCCAGTACAAAATTTTCTTTAACAGGAATGCTCCTGTAGCCAACACCAGGGTTTATTTGGCTTCCTGAAGGAGGATGAAAGATCTGCTGAGAGGAACTTTCCTGAGGCACCTGTTAGTTTCTTGAACCCCTTGGAAAAGATGCCTGGAGCTTCTCTTACAGCCAGAAGAAGAGTGGGAGGTGTCTAATGCAGCTTGAGGAACAGAAAGGACATTTGGGACTTTGCTTTGATTCAGCAAGCAAAGACCAATCGGTCTGTGGTTTAATACTGAGTCAGGAGGGTTTGGAGCTCTTGTGTGTCTTGACTGGAAAGAAAGGGAATTTAGGACTTGGTAGGACTAAAAACATGTCAAAGACCCTTACTTTTAAGGCAAACTGTTTTGAAAAAGAAAGTGGTGGTTAGGAAAGGGAACTGCTCCGGAAAGGGAACTGGTTCAACCTCTGGAGCAGATTTCACTTAATGATGTAGAGATGTCTGTAATACCTCTTATGGTTGCCTAATCGTTTCTATTATGTGCTATTGTTTTCTTCTGTCCATAATTCTGTCAAGCTTCTGTGATTTGAGATTAATTTTGTTTTGCTTGTGCTCTACCAGTCCCTGAATTTCTTGGATATTTGTAAAGAGAGGCAAGACCTTCCTGTGAACCAACTTAGAAAACTTTTTTATACAAATCTTCACCATTGTTATGGCTTTTAGAAGGCATTTGAAATTTGTTATGAGACATGACCTGGGAGTAAGGAGGGGTTTTTGTTGCCCTACGAGAGTGCATGCGGATCAGAACAAGATAGGAAGAACTTCACTACTTTCTGTTACGGGCCCAGTCTCTCAGAAGTGGTGATTCATCATAACTCAAATCTTACTTCTCTGATTTGAGATACCTGAAGGAGGCTGGAAACCAGAAAATTGTTTAACAGTGTCACTTACCAGTTTTTTAAATCTTTATTTAAGATAAAAGGAAATTATTCCAAAATATTTCCATATCCTCTTCTCTGCCACAATCTTTTAATTCAATTTTTGATGTAGGTATTTACTACCTATTTGGCTTTTTCCTTTAGCCATTTTAATTTCATTTTTATCCCTTCTTTTTCCATTTTCACATGTATGTATTTTATATTGCAAAAAAGAAGCTATCTTCACTTAAAATTATTCCATTTCCAATTACATATGAGCATTTGCCTCTGTATATGTGTGTTTACTTAAAATTAAGTATCTTAAAGTACTTAACAAAATTAATTTTTTAATTAATCATGCCCATCTTAATGGGCTTGATGCCCATTACTAAGCATGCCCATCTTAATATTTAAGGATAAGAAACCTTAATTCTTTTTGTTCATGTATTTGCCCTGAAAATAGAACTTAAAAAGTGAGAGCAATATTGTTGGGCCTGAAAGGGGAAGTAGCTTTCCAAATCCAAGCCTGAACTCTGACAAAGAAATAAAAGGATGAAAAATCCCTTACAAGTTGGTCTGAACCAGCATATATATATATATATATGTATATATATATATAATTATTTTTTTTTGTGGATGAGAAAAATTATCTTAAAACCAGCATTTTGCTTTTGATTACATCATCTTCTTAATTAAACACCTCTCCTGACTAGCAAAAGCCATGTTTAAGCTTGGAGAAGAAGGAATGCAATTATGTAAATCTTTCAATCCTATAAAAATACACCCTACCTTCAGAGGCTTGTTAAACCTCTCACAGTTGCAGAGGTGATGCTCATGAAGACAGGAAATAGCTATAACATCATGACCAAGCTTAAACTAAAACTCACAATTCCATCTCTGACTGTTGGATATGAAACATTTTATTAAAGATATCACAAATGATTTAGAGTAAACATAAACAATAATATTCAATGTTTATTGATTGAAATTCTCAAATAAATCTGAAATAGTGCAAATATTCAGTGCACAGAAAAATAGAGATTTCATTGTGCAATCAGTAACTTCTAACTTCTCATCACCATGAGATACAAAAGAACATTTGAAACTAGTTTTCATACTCTTTTGCTGGTTTTGGGGAAAGGCCCTTTTATGCTTTACAAAATTTTTTAGGGAGGGATCATTGTAATAACAACTGAGATAGACAGCTAATTCTCAGAATTTTATTACACCACCATATTGAGAGAGCTTCAAAAATGGCACATGGAATATTTGAATTGTATTGCAATTTTGTACATCATCTCCCTTCTCAGGTGCTTCACAGGTTCACTTCGGGCTCTCTCTGGCTGTGACCTGACAGAAACGTTTATACTTTGGATGCTTCAGAGCTGCCATTCTTCAAAATTGCGTGTAACTCTATTTGCTCAGTTCTGCATGCAAGGGGAAGACAGATTCTAATTTTCACCCTGTTATGTGTACATTTGCTAGTTGTTTGTATTTGTTGTACTTCTATTCTGGGCTTCCATCCAATACCTTTTATTAACATTTTTTCGTGGCTGTCTTTTCCATTCCACATCCGATTTTTTATTTATTTTTATTTTTAACTTATTCCCACACTTGTAATTTTATTTTTAGCATGTCCTGCAGTCTTTTCTGCTGTTTACTGCAGCTTTTTTCTTCACAACATCCCTCAGCAAAGGCTTCACGTTTCAATAACAATGTTCCATTTAAACTCTCTAAAGAAGTCTTCTTGTGTTTTCATCCACTGGCATAGGATCTCCCTGTCCTAATGCTTTGAAATGGAGTCTGTCACAATATTCAGCTTAAAAGTGATCTTCTGCGGCCAAGAATTTATTTTGCATTGTACAGAAATAAGATGTTAGGCTTCTTATTTAGTGGAGGTTTTTCCCACCTTCTAACAGGGCAGTGGAAAAATGTTGCAGCCAAGCCTGGCACACTGGTAATGTATTTTTGTATTTGTACTACTGGTCTGAAAAGTTTGATTCAGTTTCCCTTCAGATTTAGGGAGTCGGTGAGACAGATCAATCCAACGTCTACACTTCTATCTCTGGTTAACCTCCATCTTCTGTTAGGGTCTTGTTCCATGTCCTCATGGGCTAGGAGCACATTTACCAGAAGAAACTGTAGGGATTTGAAACCCTGTAAACTGGAAGACTTTGTTGCACAGGCCTGGAAAGATATGAGGTCCCTGTGTACTGGGGGCTATCTCATGCTGACATCTGTCTAACAAGCACTTCGCCATAGAGGTGATCTTGAGAGGTGGCAACCATGGAGGTTGCTGTCCCGTATAGAATCATTGTCTCTGTGACCCGTCTGACTCAGCCACCTTTTTGCGCTTTGGAGACATTTCCAAAGATGGAAGGTAGAGAGACTGTTACAGCTCAGGTGACCCTTCTGTCCCAGATCCCTGCTCTGACTGGCACTGGGCTCTCTGACTTGCAGAAGCTGTGGTCAGATGCCTGGCCAAACCTGGGTCCACATAATACCAGCATTGCAGAGGCATTTACAGAGGCGTTGATTAACTCTCATTGTGAGATTAGGGCCCACAAATCTCCTGAGTATCCAACTCCCAAGTAGATGAACCCATATCAGCTTCGGTCTGTCAGGAGCCACACTGTGCACACCTCCAGCTAGAAAAGCCCTTGGAAGCACTAGGTAACAAAGGGGCTTTTCATTCAATGTCTCTCTGTCTCTTCAAATAGCAAAGGTTAAACAAGTCAAGAGGTGTCAAGAGAAGATTCTGGAGCACACTAAGTAGAAAGAGTTTTACAACATGCATTCGGCAACCATAAGCAACTAAAACAGGAGGTAACTGAGCTGGTAACAAACCTATGGTTTCCTGTCACTAAAATGTATGTGAAAAAGGTAAAGATACATGTTTTTAAGAAAATTTTTTAATTGTGCCTTGGGAATTGTAGGGCACTGCCGGGGCAATGGTTAAGGACCATTCACAGTATGCCAGAAATCTAATATCTGACAATCAGTGAGGAAACCTGGTGTGGTTTCCCTGAAATAAATATTGTGCTATTCAGTTTTGAGTTCTTTGAGGTAGTCAGAAAAAATACCAACATAACACTTTAAAATACTCCTATGGAGTTTTGTACATGAACCCCAAAGCTACCATACTCTCACAGACATCTCACGCAATAAGTAAAGAAGGGATAAACATTGGTGGGACAGAATATATAGTGGCTAAATAGGATAAATATTGTCAGCACAGCAGCAATTTTCTGCACGACTGTTTTATTTAGGATGTTTCTGGGGATGAACAGGTCCATCACTTGAACAGAGTTTGAAAATGAATGATACAGAAAGGGCATCTTGACTTCAAATTCCTGATTTCTGGTGCAGTAATTCCTCAGCTACTTAGCAGTCCTCTGTCTCTTACCAGTAAAATGTTGCCATCTTTTAGGTGGAATATCTGTTTTTCTGCATCATCTACAGTGCTTCAGAGGACTGGGACTGCTTTTAGTGTGAGAACTCTAATATTCCAACAAATATGAACACTCTGTGCCCCTTATTGCCTCTTTGCTTATCCACTAATTGGTGAGACTTGCTGCATTTTCCATAAAGGTAAGGTCTACAGTTTTTGAATCTGAAGTAATTTTAACTTCACATAACATGGCTACAAAGTTTGGAATCGTGATTTAGCATTGCTATTGTTGTTTGCTTATGTCTGCAAGATATAAACTAGGCAGAAAATACCACCTCTGAATTTTTTTAAAGTTCTTTGTAAAATGTGTCAGTTTATGAACATTTTTAAATTACAGATGTTCTGATTTTCTTTTTTTAGCATTTCACTTTTTTATTCTATATTTCTTGTGGGAACCCGTGTCCCAGACTGGTCAAAAGTCCTAGACGTACCAGGACAAATCATCATCCCGGGTATAAGACATATAGGCTCTGTTTTCCCATCTGTCTCTTTATTTTGTGATTCCATGTGCCCTGCTTCTGGTACGGGAGATGTTGAAGCAGTTTGGACCTCCATGGTAACATTGTCCTGCTTATCAGCTGTTTGTCCAGTCCTGGAGAAGCATCATTGTTGTCCATCAAAAGGCTGATCACTTTGAGAGGACAGTATAAACAAATTCACTAAGGTTTCATCTGAGCAAGACAGAGCTGATGCTGAAGAAGGAATCTCCAGGAACATGAATATCCTGGGGGGAAGAGAGATTTCATTTCTTAGTGAGCATTTGCCTATTTTTCCACAAATCACTGGCAGTACAGGAGTGTGTTTATTACCCTATGTCCATCTTGAGCGAGGTGTGGTGAGAAAGGCAGCACTGCCTCTTCCTGGGTGTATCCTTAGGGCTGGCAAGCTGTCAGGGAAGACACTAGAAGGTATGCCAGCTGAGATGTGCCATCCTGGAACAGGGCACTTCCCAGGGCTGTGCCTATGCTAGCACAGCTCACTCCTGATGGAGTGCAGCAGTTTAATGGGTCGAAATCTACCTCCGTCATTTCTTCTTCTTCCCCAGGCCAGAAGAGGTTAACAGGCACTTGAACAGGGATTCCCCAGCTTTAATTGTCTAGCAGTTTCTAGTAAGATACTTTCAGTGGAAGACTCTTGACTCTGGAGTTCTCTTCCAAGGAAGCCCAGAATGGGTTCACTGACCCGTGGGGCACAGACAAGCTTTCACCTGAAGGAGAAATGGGCAATCTGGTTTTGTTCTGAAATTACACACAGAGAAAGGAGAAAACCATTGTGAAGCAGTGGTTTGGTGAACTTTGTGCATCCTTTCTGTGTTAGGCACATATTATACATAAAAAAAAATTGAATGACTGGTAACACAAACTGCATATTAGCTCCCAACCTCCATTGTCTTGTGTGTTTTGAACCCGGAGTTTTCAAAGATGGGATTACTTTGCTGTTCCCTATATTCATTCACCCAATGCTACCACCACCCATAAAGACTTGGCATCTTGAAAATGAAACAAAAACAGCTGAATGTCTTATCCCCAATGACCATTCCATTAGTTTGTGGTTTGGACAATGGTATTAAAAATCACTCTTCAACGTAAATGTTGGCAACAAACATGTTTTCATAACCTAAGTGACCATGATGTTCCAATTTGAATAGAACTTTCTGAAATCCACTGATATTTTAGGGATGCCGAATGGCAAAGAGTGTCAGAAAATCCATTCCTCTGCTTCTTCATCATATTTTTCTGTACCTCAGCTTGCCCAGAGAAGAGTCATTCAGTGTAATTTATTCTGTGATGGACAGACTACACAAATCTGCTAGCATGCTCTTCTTCTGTGGATCATTATTGAATTAGATGTGCAGGCAGAAGAATCTGAATGTCATGCAATCTAGAATTGTTTCATCTTGGCTTTCAGTTTACAACCCAAGCTTGTAAGCAGGTGTATCTCCAGTGACTTCATTTATTTCTGGCTTCACTAAAGATTTGTCGAAGTGAAATCCACCTCTTTCCCACTGGCAGAATCTTATGAACAACAGTAGCCAGTAATCTCATGGTAATACCAATAATCAAGAATTGGAATCCAATGCATATGCCAAAAAATGTTATTTTCTACTAAGAGAGAAATCTATGTGGAATACACAGGTAGGCTGGTGGTTTTTAAATCTATTTATGATTTTATCTAAAATTTTATTTAAATTATTTCAATTGGCTTCAGCAAAGAGTACAGATGGATTGAGAACTCTTGGGCTACAGTTGAACTGGATGACCCAGAAGTGTTTCCAGGCTCCTAGGTTGGAACGTAAACTCTAACTACAATTTAACTCCGTGTTGGAGTGAGATGTATGTGCCTATTGTAACACTGCTCTCTAGCAAGGCAACTTTTATGTATGGGCTAAAGAGGAGCTACACCAAGTTCTGCTAGATGCCCTCTGCAGACAAGGGGTATCCAGCCAGGATGTGGATTTGTCAAAGCAAACAGTGCAGAGATTCAAGTTGTAGCTGTGTTATTCACATCATACTCATGGGATAATAATGTTATTTTCAAGCTGTCTAACCCCAGTAACTGTATGCAGCTTGGGAGGTGGGCTTAAGAGAGAACTAGGAAGGGAGGGAACACTTTGAATGACTTCATTAATTATTTTGGATGAGGAGATGTCATCGAGCATCATGACAGCAGCGTGGCTTCATATTTATAAAACTGTTCATATTTTACATGTCACAGTACAAAGATGTACATGAAGAGGCTTTGAGATCTTATGTAGGAAAATGCATGGTGTGTGCAAGTCAGAACACACCCAAATTGCTTGTGTCTGTAAATTTACTTTTCCACTGAAACTCCAATTTGCCATGATCCCCAGAAGCTCCTTCTAAATGAAGGGTTGAGGTTACTGAGGTTTAGTTCTGGATTTCAGCAGCTCCTGGCTTTGTAATCTCCACGGATGCCAGTTCTTGGAGCAATTTGCATTTGAGTGATTAAGGGATGCTTTGTCCTTCAGGTTTTGTAGGTCATTTCACTATTAGAAGCTTGCAATATTTCTGCCAGACTCTCTCTCTCTCCCTCTTTCTTTCTTTAAAAAAAAAAATAAAAAAAAAAAAAAATAAAAAAAGCAAACCCGATCATTTTATCTAGGACCTTATAAGAGTCATTGGTGAGATCAGAAGCTTTAATGGAGCTGTTTATTGTAGTTCAGATAATCTCTAGCAGCATCTTCCTGGAGCTATAACAATGGAAGGGTATTTTATAGCTTTGAGCATAATAGTATCCTATGGGAAAAAAATGTCTTTATTATCTCAAACTCTTTATCTCAGACTTAAAGAGCACACTAGAGAGACATTTTTATATATATTTAACTCAATACTTAATAAGAACAGAAATAGACCAAAGAACAATCTTTACCTAAATTATTGAGTCTACAGGACTTCTTACCTCTTTGTATTTGAATGTGTGCAGACAGTTTGAAAACAAGCTACCACTCGTGACAAGAGTAATTATTTTAATCTTTGTCCTGGAAGCTTACTGCATTTACTCTTTGGTTTGCGGAGGAGCCAACTGGGAAACATGGGTAGCTCAAATTTTCTTTTTAAGAAAAAGTCTCCATGTCCTGTACACTGGCCTTTGGCAGGAGCCCACTGGACACCTGTGCTCCCAAACCTGGTCTGGTAGAAGTGCCCACTACAGATGTCAGAGCTCTTTTGTTGACTTCCTATTAGTCGCCACTTAATGGATGTGAGCCGAACACGGCTTTGCCTAAGCACTTATCAATAGACAGCAAACATTCTTCTTTCCATGGGCAAAGGGTCAAACTGTTTTGCCTGGCTATAAAGCTGTGCCAGATAATTGCTGGTGATTAGCAATTTTAATTACCAGGTGCTAGGGGTCGTTGCTTGTGGAGCTTTTTTTGCTGTTGTTGTAATTGGGCAGGCTGTCAATAGGTAGGGCTTATTGTAAGCATGGCGTGTATTTTACAGATACATCATACATCCTTTTAAAGCAGGTAAAATAAATTCAGTAGCATAACGTGCTTCTGTTTGCATCTGATTAGCTGCATAGTGCTCCAACAGGTTTTTCAATAAAACTTGTCTGATACAGGAATCTTTAATACAACTTACTAAAGCAGCTTTTAATCCCCTTGTAAACACTTGTGTGTACTATTGTTATTGAAGAGAGGCAATGATTTTAAAGTCTTTTCCTGCTACATTGGTCAAGTTGGAACTAAGCTTGTCAAACATGTTCTACCTCACTGGTTTTGCATGCAGACTTTTAGGGGGTTTTCATAGAATCACAAAACCAATGGCACAATTAGTAGCGAACTAATCTTTTCCCATATTCAGCAGTGAAATGGGTTCAAAATGAAACTGACACAAAAGACTCTTCTCTGATCTTCCTCACAGCAGTAAGAGAGGAAGCAGCTATAATGCTTCAGTATCTCTTTTTACTAAAATTTCCATTTATTTCCTTTTCTTATATTATTTTACCTCAGAAGACTTGCAGACATACTGAAGATCTCTGAAAGCCGAATGTACTGTTTACTAATCTGCTTGGGTTAGAAGATCAGGCTTGTATTTTGAGGCAATAAAAAGGATGAATAGCTCTGCAATACAGAGTTCTAGCTCTGTTTTTATTTGTTCCTGCTGCAATATCTTGTGTCCCACCTTCATTTTTTTCCAGACTGTTGGTCATGGGCTGCTTGAAGGAGGAGTAGGAGCTCAGGAGGAGCTGTGAAATTGTAATGTCAGGTCCTTTTAGTGTCAAAAATTGAAGATGTCTTACTGCTTGAAAATGCTATAATGGTGCTTATGAAGTTCTTCAATATGGCACATTCTACAGCTACAGATTATCCATACTCGTTCACCTTCTCCCACTATGTAATCAGAGCTTTGAAACCCGGACTAAAACCCCCCAAAATTAGTTAAATAGTGCATATAGAAAGATGCCTCTGGGGAGGAGGATGTAGTTCTCAGGGTACTCCCATCCCATGTTTCCATGGCACAGCTATACCCCATGGAAAATGTGGAGCCTTCTCCTTTCTGCTAACCACAAAACCCATGGACAAACTGCAAAACCTCAGTGCCAGGCCTGACATCACTCCAAAGAAAACTACAAATAAGTAATATTCCTGAGAAGTGGAGCAGGCCAGGGCAGAGTTTGATTTCCTGAAATCAGTCCTTGAGCAGTGGGAGAAGTAAGGCCCTGGTAGCAGCTGCTTTTGGCACGGGCAAAAAATTTTGGTTATAAGACTAACACATAGTTATGATGTGTTGATCAGTTTTCATAAACAGCCTTTATTTCCAAGTCTGAAATCTTATCTTCATTGTAGAAACAAATTTCTTAGCTCAAGTATGGCTATGTTTGTTATGCTTCCCTCTGTATCTTCAGCTGGAAACAGATAGTTTTTCTTCCTACACTGTGCCCTTGTTTGCCTGTAATGACAGGCTGAAGTGAAAGGTTCTTAATACTGAAAACCTCTGACACCATTTTATTTTGATTTCAATATGGACTTACATCCCCTTCTTTTTCTGTCTCCTGGTAACTGCAGTTCAAAAAGCTGTTGAAATCAACACCAGACTGGCTGCTCTTGTTGCCACTAGAAGTTCATGAAATAGATGTTTTCCTACCTCTGCTATCACAAAACTCCAATATGCCCCAAAAAGCAGAGAGAAAAAGGCAGTCATCTGAACCCATTCATCCCAAACAGCTTTTGCAATGATCACAGCCTGTCTCCAAGGTCTCAGGTTTCCAGCTCACGTAAATGCAAATGCCAGTAGACGATGTCCTTACCAGATAT